TTTTTCTCAATTTTGCACGAATAGCTGTAAACTGCGAAAGGCTGTGGCTAGCCGCCAGGACGGTTCAGTTGATTATTCAGCCTAAAACTGCTGTGATATTATCGGGAAGCTAAGAAACTCAGATTAGTCTTGAAGACATCCAGTTGTGAAGTTGCCTTTCATTGAAAGCCGCAGAAGCCGTCTTTCGCTAAAATTAGGCCATATCCTCAGCTGCAAATCCTTTAAGCTGTTATTATTATAGCGGCAAAGCAAGATGATGCCGGAAACTAATATAACTTGGCTTCATGAGAAAACGAACTCGAATCAAGCGGCCTTGTGTACTTTATCCTCAACGAAAACTAAAAAATTATGTTTCAGCGTGATAAGCAAGTTTACTCCAGTGAAAAATGATAATCATAAGAAGAAATCCACGAAAATCTAGCCAATATTCTCTCCTGGGGATTTTAATAGTACTGTTTGTCAGTGACGATCTTTTGAAACCTTAAATTTCTATAATAAAATTGTTAGGGGTACTTTTGAAGGTTGTAAAAAGCGAACTTTGATAAAGTGTAAGAAAAAAGTTCTATACAATTGTCATATAAATATCTAGCTTCGCACTCTAAAGACTTGCTACTGAGAAACTCATGCTAAATATATAATTACGACGCATTGTTCTCAGTTTAAATCAGTTTAAATCTCGCAACGTTTGATAAGTACTGAGATAACTTGTTGTTAATTCGTATTCTCCGTGCCACAGCGGTTATTAAATAAGAAAAGCTCTGGCGAACCACCAGTCTATGAATTCCTTCACGACGAGCGTAGCTCGAGTTTAATGTAAACGAAATGCATTTTGAAATAGTTTCACGTTCGAAGAGGGCGTTTTTGAGGAGGAGTCAATACCTTTAATAGCAGAGTCATTGATTCCTTAAAAGTGTTTGTTGACGATGAATTTACGATGACATGTTGAAAAGAAAGGTTAAAAGGCCAGACGCAGGAAAAAGGAAAACTCTCGCAACCAAATAAAACAAGTCCCAAAGGGTGTGAAATAATTTCGATTTCGATACAAACATGTATATTTGAACATGCAGCATTATGCTCGCACGTGGTTGACCTTTGGTTTCGAACGATCTGTAATCAATAAAAATCCTAAACAAAAGCCTTTAATTTTCAATGCTATTTTGTTCCTCCACGCCCCGCGTGGTCAGCAATTAACGACTATCAAATTTAGCAATTCCTTCTGTTGCTGTAATGCTTTCAATAACTTGAGCGTCGGTTCCCAGACGCACCCGGTAGCGGCATGTTATCTCAGCCAATCAGCTCACACTATTGCAAGTTGTAAATCATCAATAAGACGCTGTGGAAACGGCATTCAGCCAGAACATCGGTTCCCTCCGCTGGTGAGAAGGTTTTAATCTACACAACCAGATTGCCTCCGAGACTTTCCAGTATGGATAAAGTGATTTTGTTGCTTTTTGCTGTGTTTGCGGTGTTTCAAGTACAGGCCGCCCCAGAACTGTACAAACGGCTATTCCGAGAAGAAGCGTTGAGAGGTAACTAGAAAATTCACTTATGATTTTAAGGTGATTCATCCTTCGCTCTAAAGGCATATATACTAGAAGCGACGCTAGAGAGAGACTTATCGAACCCGATTTCAAAAGCCAGCTTGTTGTTTCGTCTGTTCCTCGATATTTCATCAAGACGATTCCAGTCACGGGCTGAATGCGTTATCTTGATTCGTATTGGAGAGCTCATATCTTAAAGGGTTAGCTTACATGTCAATTTCGCTGTCTGTGCAGACTTGCTAAGCCTTCCCGTCTATCTGCTCTTTCTTTAAATCAGTACATTTACTCACTTTTATGTTTTCTATTCTTTTAGACTTGTTCTACGAGCTGGAGAACCTACCACGGGAACGAGTCAGCAATGGTAAGTGATTACATTTAAAGCCTGTCTGTTTGTTTCTTTTCGTTAGTGTTTATTCCCTTCTCTAATTCCTATTCCTTTAGATTTTTTCGACGAACCAGCCATGTCGCGCGAACGATTACGGGATGGTAAGACATAACAAATTTAAAAGTGATTATGTAAGGGCCCATTTTTTAAATCTTAAACATTGCTTACATAAACAACGAAGGCCAGAGTCACGCATAAAGTATAAAAATCCGAGAGCAGTGTCAAGTAATGGAAATTATTTCCAGATGAATCGAAATTCAGATAGTGTCGCAAAGTTTGGCAGCTTTAACGTCAATAATTGTCTGTGTTCCGCTTAATACCAATTGCTAGTCTATTTGCAATCTTGGCGTGAAATGTCCGTTTTTGGTTTGTTTGATTGCCGTATAGCACGTGAACTTTAAAGTGAAAGGGGGGCAGGGGACTGAATTGCAAAAAAATTAACACAAGGAATTTTTCACCCCCCCCCCCTTTTTTTTTCTTTTTGTATACAAAGATATTTTCTCATGGGAATTGTTTTCTTGCAACATAAGGCTGAAGTGACTGGAATATGAGTTACTTTTGTTATGCTTTCGTGAGAAATGCACGTATTTAAGAATCAGAGTAACCAGCAGGTAAGCATTTCGAAAACAGTTGTCTCGTTGCAGCTGGCAAATTGTTTTATCATTTAATGTTCCCTTTTTTCCAGGAGAAAACAAAACAAAACCAACAAGTGGGCGGTAGGGTGTAGTCGCATGGCATACTGAGTATGCCATACTGCACAGGGGGTGGGGAGGGGGCTGCGTTGAATCGAAGGGTTGATCTCAACCAGTCAGCAAACAATCTCCACCTAAAAAAAAAAAAAAAAAAAAAATAGGAAGGTCAATTTTATTAATAGTAACTAAGAGATATCAGGAGCCTACATCAAAGTCATCCTGTCTTGCATATTTGTATTCCTCAGAACTGAGTCCAAGAGGCCTGTGCGTCGATCACCTGGCCAGATGCTTCCAATACGTGACTCAATGTTCATGGTCCAGAAATGACTTTCACCAAGTGTCCAACTTCAACAAATTTCATGAGACGTGCTGTGCAACATGCAGTCGCTTCATCAAGTAATCACTGAGTTTTTTGGCCACGGTCGTCTAGGGCATTGGGAAAATCAACGTGTAAACACCTTTAAAATCGTTGCGTAGCTGTAGTCACTGGATCCGTTTTGTCTTCAGTGTAATTACTGTGATCAGTAATCAGTAGTCCTAGATTAAACCAAAGGTTAATAGCGTTGTGTGAAATCAATAAATGCATTTTTCATTTTTGATTTACTGATGTTGTCTTGTTTTAGTCACTAAATTACAATCCTCACGCTCAGCTTTTATTCATCCATTCCACACTTACAGAAGAGCTTTGACTGGGTTCCTTTTTGGAGGTACCTAATCACACTTATCCCGGGGATAACTGGCAGACCTGTCAGATCACTTAAATTGTCGGTCACCTTAGTTGGTTCTGGGCGAGGAACTTACGCGCTAGCCTAGCCTCTGTTCGTAACTTCTTTATTTGCCGACTTCGTTACTTGCCATTATTTTTTTTCCTTCCGTGCATCGATAGATTCCTTGCCTACATTGTCGGTGTTTAATAGACCGATAAAGACAGGATATTCCTATGTAAGCCAGTCTGCCATCAGGCGGTGGTGGTAGGGGAATGGAAGTACAGCCCAGTGAGGCGCTCTACAAAGGTGTGAACTGTTAAGCTCCGCTCCGAGGTCCAGCCCCTTACCCTTTAGTCTACCACTTTGACAGAAAAGGTGCTTCTTTCGTTATCCCTATTTAATGAACATATTGGACCCAAAATGAAATAAATGTTTAAATTTTGGTTCATTTGACCTATAATGCTCTGTCAATTCCAAGCCGGCTCACGCCCCGGGCATTTGGCATTTTAAATATGAATTTCTTTTATATATATCCATTTAAAAAGCCGTAGAAGAAAAACTTACACTATTTACAATCGTAATACATTGCTGTAACTAACGTAATTAATCATATTATATAATTACCACTATATGTGCAGGGGAGCCCCGCCTTACGGCCACCCCGTGAATACGGCCACCTCGTTAATACCGCCACCCCGTTAATACGGCCACCCCGTGAATACGGCCACCCCGTGAATACGGCCACCCCTTTAATACGGCCATCCTTTTAATACGGCCACCCCGTTAATACGGCCAGATTTTTGTGGCCCGCTGGTGACCGTATTAACGGGGTTCCACTGCAACTGCATTCTATAAAATAACTGACATACCACGCGCGCTCTGATTGGTAAAAAAACCTATACAGTGGAATCTCGTTGAAACGGTCTCCAGCGGGCCACGAAAATTCTTGCCGTATTAAAGGCGTTCTTTAAATAAGTACATGACTGACTAAGCTTTTGTTCGGGCCAGAATAAAGTGGTTGTAATAATGAGGTGGCCGTGTTAACGCCGTGGCCGTAAGGCGGGGTTCCACTGTTCTATCGTTTATCGTACCGGTAAACACTTGGTTTCCGATACGCAACACTACGTGAAAACTAGAGAACTCAGAACACTAGCGAAAACATAAGCTTTATATATATTTTCTGAGATTCATCATATCCATAGAAATTTGTAAAGAAAAAAAGGACCAGAGTTTGGTCGCGATATTAGTTTAAATGCTTGATTTTTTTAAATTTCCATGGCCAAAGTTTTACTCCGATTCCGTTTACGCTTGAGGTTAGAAGTTTTAAGTGCTTTCAGTGCTTTCTACGGTCTGTGGAGGACGAAGTTCTGGCTACAGCTGGGCTTGAATGATCAATTTGGGTTGTTAGAAAAGCAGATAAAAGATTTCTATTGAACCTATCAGTAGTTTTAAGTTTAAGTTGCCACTACCCCCCCCCCCCAAATCTTTTTTCCTTTAATTAAATCTACTAGTTTTCCTGATTACTTCAGCGAAAAAACTATCTCGATTGATAAAATCCCTGCGTTTCTACAGGCGTTTAAACATGCAATTGCTATGTTCACGACCGCCCAAAGTGGGATCGGGGTAGGGCTACTAATGACGTCACTTCGGGAACCGGGCTAAAACACCCAAGAGACTTTTGACTGAACTTCGAGGGCAGTCAAAATATTTTTGGGTTATTTGTGATTCATATTTTATCAAAACTGGACACGATTTTTCAGTGAAAGAACTGTGTCACCTAGCATTACAATTCGGAGTCTAGCTACGATTTGGTCGACGGCTGCGATGTATATATTATTTTTTTCATTTCGAAGTGCGCGTCGCCAGTCGAGATCGCCGCGTTGTATATTATATTTAGGCCGGGATCGACAATTTGCCAGTCCATTTGGGTTATAAAGGTACAAAAAATGACTGAAGAGTTAACTTACAGCTCTAAAAGAGTTATAAAGATGACAATGAACACGGAAGGTTGGCAATTTGACTTTACGGAACCTGCAGATTTCAGAGTGTCGAAACATTTTTAGATTCAATAATAATAATAATAATAATAATAATAATAATAATAATAATAATAAAGCTTTTTGAACGCAGTTAAAAAAACTCAATGCCCTTACATTACTATAAAAATAAATTAGTTAAATCCTATGAAATATTTCTAATAACAGTAATAAATAAAATAAATGAAATAATTAATTAGAATACAGTTTCTCATAAAATAAAATAAATCAGAAGAAGGATTTCCGAAACAAGAATGTTTTGAGGGCAGATTTTAAAGACGAAAGAGATGTTCTATTTTTAACAGAATCCGGTAGACTCTTCCATAATATAGGTGGGGAGAAAGAAAAGGCACGTTCACCGTATGTCACAGAATTCACAGTAGGGACAGTGAAAACATTAATTTCCCTCGAAATACAAGTTAAAATGCGATGTAGACGTAGTCCACTCCTGCCTACTTCTCCAGATCAATGATTGAAAATAGTTTTAACATAAGAGATAAGCAGAGATGTCGGCAAACAATATTCGAAGGTGGGGTAACTTTTCGCTTCGTTATTGTCTACCGACTGTAGTATATGCAAAGTCAATTACTGTGTACGAACACAAGCTACACAAATCTGCATATTTC